GTCTTGCCTCACTTGCTCTCCTCTTGACTTCACTTGTACTGTGACATATATATATGCTTGCTCTTGCTTGTCTAGTTTTATATATATGTCTGTACTCCTGCATGTGAACTGGCCTCTGGCCCTACTCTTCTGCTCGGACTGTGTGGTGACTTTGTGATCCACCCTGAGCTTGCTTTGCTTTGCTTGACTGGTCTTGTGACCCCTTGTTCTCCCCCACTTTGCCTATGGGGTTGTGTCAGATTTATATGATATAGTTGCTGTAGGCTATAGTGGGGTAGCACATATGGGGTACAGGGTTTCTAGGGTTGTATTTGTACCCAATCTTTCCTTAGTCATTTCATTCCTGTTTTCCTTGCTTCACAAGCGCCGCATTGGCATGGTCATGGACGTCGCTCGTACGTCTATGATGCATGCGGCTGCCCCCCATTTTCTGTGGCCGTTTGCGGTCAGGTACGCGGCGCATCAGATCAACCTCCACCCCAGGGTCTCCAGGCCGGAGACCTCCCCAGCCCTGCTGTGGACGGGGAAGGTTGGCGATGCGTCGGCGTTCCGGGTCTGGGGATCTCGGGCGTTTGTCCGCGACTTGTCTGCGGACAAGCTGTCCCCTCGCGCTTCTCGCTGCGTCTTCCTGGGCTTCCCCCTCGACGCCCCTGGGTGGCAGTTCTACCACCCCACCTCTCGACGTGTTCTGTCTTCCCAGGACGTCACGTTCGATGAGTCGGTACCCTACTACCGCCTCTTCCCCTACCGCACTCCTTCCCTTCCCCCGCCCCCGCTCTTCTTGGTACCAGGTCCCCCCCCGGTAGACCCCCTCCCCCCTCAGGGTCCTGCCCCTTCAGGTGTGTCCCAGGTAGACGCGGTCGAGCCTGTCGAGGTCACTGGTGACTCTGGTGCTGCTGCGGGAGCTGAGCCTGGGGGTGCTGAGCCTGGGGGTGCGGAGTCTGGGGGTGCTGAGCCTGGGGGTGCTGAGCCTGGGGGTGCTGAGCTTGGGGGTGCTGAGCCTGGGGGTGCTGAGACTGGGGGTGCTGAGTCTGGGGGTACTGAGCCTGGGGGTGCTGAGCCTGGGGGTGCTGAGCCTCGGGGTGCTGAGACTTGGGGTGCTCCGCCTGGCGGTGTATTGCCTGAGGGTGCTGAGCCTGGAGGTTCTCCGCCTGGAGGTGCTTCGTCTCGCCGAGAGCCACTCTCCCCGCAGGAGCTGCGTGAGTGGTTTGCCCGGCGCTGGAGGCGTGCTGCTCGTGCTGGAGGTTCTTCGGCTGCAGAGGGTGCTGCTGCCGCGCGTCCCGGAGTTGCTCGTGCTGTGGGTGCTGGAGCTGCTGGGCCTGAGGGTTCTCCTGGAGCTGGTACTGCTGTGGGTGTTGGCGCTGAGACTACTGCTGGCGGTTCGACTGGCAGTGCTCCTGGTGCTGCTGGGGGTGCTGGAGGTGCTGCTGGAGGTGCTACTGGAGCGGGTACTCCTACTGGAGGTACTGGTGCTGTCCGTGCTGTTTCTGGCGTCGCCACGCGGCCCCGACCGTACTTCGCTCCGCTCCTGCAGCAGGTTCTTGGTCTGACACCTTCTCTTGGTCCTCCTCCTCCTCCCTTAGAGGGTCCACAGCCAGTCCTGTCACAGTTACAGCTACAGCCTGCCTCCCCTTTGCCTGCTCCTTCTCCCTACGCTGGTCCGACTGGAGGTCTTACTGAGCGTCGTGAGCCTGCGTCTCGTCCTGCGTCGCCTGTTCGCACTGCTCGCACTAGTGGTCGCGGTTCACGTCAGCGTCCTCCTCCTGTCCCTGGCACGCACCGGATGTCTCTGCGTCCGTCCACTGCTCCTCTGCGTGCCCCTTTGCCTTCTCCTCCTGCTTCCTCTCTTCCTGCTCTTGCCGACCCGGAGTCGGACTCTCTTCGTGCTGCCAGTCCCACTGTCACGCGTCTCCTTGCTACTGCTGTCACTGACCCTTCCTTCGAGTCTTCTGCTGCGTCTGCCCTTGTCACTGAGCTTGTCGACTTTGCTGCGCGCTGTCGTCTAGACTTCGCTGCTAGTCTTGTCGCCGAGTCTGAGTCTGTCTGTCCTCCGTCTCTCGGGGGTGAGTGTGCCCTAGGCACGGACGTCCTCGAGGACAGGCAGGAGGAGTTCCAGTGTCTGGCCGCCGCTTCACCTCATCTCGCGTCTGTACTGCTCGCCCCTGAGGGAGACCCGGATGCACTAGACATCCCGACTCCGCGCTCTTATGCGGAGGCGATAGAGGGTCCCTACTCCTCTCAGTGGCAGGCAGCTATGGATGCAGAGATGGCTTCCTGGAAGTCCACAGGCACCTACGTTGACGCTGTTCCCCCTCCTGGGGCGAACATCGTCAGTGGCATGTGGATTTTCAGGGTGAAGCGGCCGCCGGGTTCTCCGCCTGTCTTCAAGGCGCGTTACGTGGCTCGTGGCTTCAGTCAGCAACAGGGAGTTAACTACTTTCAGACCTTCTCCCCCACCCCGAAGATGAGTACTCTTCGGGTACTGCTGCACGTTGCTGCTCACCGCGACTACGAGCTGCACTCTCTCGACTTCAGCACAGCTTTCTTGCAGGGCAGCCTGCACGAGGAGATCTGGCTGCGTCGCCAACCTGGCTTCACTGGGTCTTTCCCTCCTGGTACCCAGTGGAGTCTCCGGCGTCTAGTCTACGGTCTCTGCCAGGCGCCACGTGAGTGGCACGACACACTGAGGACTACGCTTGCGGCACTTGGGTTTGCTCCTTCTACTGCCGACCCGTCGTTGTTTCTGCGCACCGACACCTCTCTGCCGCCGTTCTACATCCTCGTGTACGTCTGGGCGATGGCTGCGCACGTTGGATCCGGTTGAAGGGACTCACGGCGATGTGTGGTGTTGTCGAGTTGTTCTTCCGGTGAGTAGTGTGGCGGTGACTCGGTGATGCAGGAGTCTGGCAATCTTGCCATGTAGCTGACGATATTTCTTGTTCCTTATGCACGCTGTGTTGACGGCGGTGTCGACTTGACTGCTTGAGGGTCGAAGCTGCCATTGTGGCAGTGTTGACTGTTGTCGATTCGGGCAGTGTGTGCGCGGGTGTCCTGACGTCTTGCAGAGATGTTAGAACGGAGGTACAGGCTTTGGTTGTTGTCGGTTGTTGTTGTTGTTGTAGCGTCGCTGAATGTGAAACGCGAATTCGGGTACAGATGCTTTCTTTTTGTGCCGTTCCTCTTGCAGGTCCATGTCTTGTTGCTCGGCGTGTATTTCGGCGCAGAGCGCTGCCTCGGAGATTCTTCCATGAGCTCGGAGAATGGCCTTTGTGGCGCGCCATTGAGGGCCGAGGGTGCTGATGATGAGTGTCACGAAGGCGTCTTCAGATATCGGCCCTCCGCATCGAAGGAGTTTGTCGCGCAGCTCGCGACAACGGCTGATATACGCTATTCCCTTTTCGCCTGGTTTCATTTCCACTGTTGTCAACTGCGCCATTAGCCGACTCTGATTAACGCTGTCTGTTGCTTGGTACAGGTTCTTCAAGTGGTTGTATGCGAGTACGGCGGAATTACCATATCCCCGGTAAGACCGTATATTCTGCTGCTGGTTCGGGTTGATGTTCCTCAGTAGAATCGTATACGCCATCATTGACTGATAGGTGTACTGCTGCTTCTCGTATTGTGTGCCGTTTGTTGGGTATGGCAGGGATCCGTCGAAGAAGCCAAGTATCTGCGCGCCTTCCATCATTAACTCGAACTCGAACGACCAGGTGAAGAAGTCCTTTGCGTCGAAAGGTCTTGACGTCTGCAGTTTTAAAACGTGCGCGAAATGTGACTGAACTTGAAGTGCGTCCAGTGGTTTCTCCTGTCCAGGTGCAGGCTGCGGTTGTGGCATAAAGCTGACGGAGCCGCGCTGGGGCTCGTATGGAGCAAAGGTAGGTTGCTGGTGTTGATTTCCACGTGCGTAGGATGAACCGTCAAGGCTCATTGGAGTCACGTCATTGTTGTTGTTGCTGTTGTGTGACTGCGCAGGTACCGATTGCTGGTGTTGCTCGTAGAAGGACATGAAGGAGAAAAACTTCTCCATCATGCTCTGGTCGAAGCCTGCAGGTTGATTCGCAGGAGTCTCGTTGGATGTTGCCCTGGGTCTTGTTGCAGTACCCTCCTCTGTCTGTAGGCCAGAGGCAGGAGGTGGAGTAGGAGTAGTGCCGGGAGAACCAATAGAGGAACTCCTTTCCGTACCCTCCTCTGTCTGTCCTTTGACTTTCGCGTAACCTCCAGCAGTTACTTCAACCTCCGAGGGTTGACTCGCTGGTGCCTCGATATGCTTCGCTTCGCTTGTGCCTTGGTGTTTCGACACGACAGAGGCGCTTAAGCTTGATTGTTTCCAACACAAATCATAGGTTTTAAGGTGATAATCAATCTCTGCTCTCATTTTACTTTCTCTCTGTCTTTTGTCACACCAATCCACTGAGGCAATCCTGTGAGACACTCATTGTATTTGTTGCTGAGCTAATCCTACACATGATTAACACATTTTTTCTCAGCATTCTCATAATGAAGGTAAGTTGGTACTTATGTTCTACACTTATCGTGCTTCGAATGCTTTGAACCACCGTGCTTATCGAAGTGTATTGTGAAGCGATCGAGGGACAATAGTGCTTGTACGGAAGGCCGAGCAGGGAAAGCAAGCAGGGCAAGGCGACGAGACGACAGACACCTGTGCAGCGCTGCGCTGTAGCGCATAGATACACCTGCTGCACTCACACTGCCTGTACACTCTTCCCCGCCCACCACCAACCCCACCACATGGCTGCCTGCCAGCCACACAGCACAGGTGTAGGCTTTTCCAGACGTAAAGCGGCGCCGAGGACGTAGTTACATAGAAGACTAATGGTTGTCGCCAATTATATTTAATTTATAGCGACTCCTAGCATGCGCGGCGTTAGAGGCGCGGAGGAGCAAGCGATGCTCGTTAGGGCACGAAGGGGCGAATGTTGGGGCAAGAATGGGTGGGGGAAGGAGGGCGCGATAGTATGAGCAGCAGCGGCGGCAGCGGGATGTTGGACGCGCGAGTCAACGCCGTCCCTTCCCCGCCGCACTTCTCCGCCGCTCCTTCCTCCCTTTTTGACCGCAATCGCGCGATGATGACGTCAGACGCCATGACGTCACACCCCAACTCGATGACGTCAGGCCGCAAAGCTGTATCGTCAGGGCATAAACGAGTCTTAGCAGGGCGCGGGGAAGCGGAGCCGACAGGGGCGCGTGGCGACGATAGCGCGATGGCGATGGAAGATGATTGCTTCTTAAAGCCGTATTACCCTGCTCCCGGCACTCGCCCCTCTCGCATCCCCAATGGCGACTCTCGTATCGGCCAAAGCGATAGCGCCGCCTTCTCTCGCAGTCGCTCCAGCTCCCCCTCCCCCGCTCACTCCGAACCCTCTTCCGCCCATGCCTCGCCCGCCCCCGCGCGCCCGCCGTCCGCCCACAGGAGCGCGACGGCTGCCCCTCCGCGGCCCATCTCGCCTCTGCCCCCGCATGCTGTGCGACGCAGACCGGGCGCGGAGGGGCGCGCGGATGGGCGCGCGGGGGTAGGGGCGGAGCTGCGGGAGGGCAGTCCGGGGCGCGATGGCGCGCTGATGGGCGCCCGCGCGCCTGTCGTGCGCGATGGAGCCGGCGGAGGCGGGGAAAAAGGGGGAGCGGAGAGGGTGAGGGCAGGGGGAGAGGGCGCGAGGGGAAGCGGAGAGGAGGCGAGGGAAGGGGGCGTGGCGCGCGGTAGCAGTAGGCCCCGGCGCGCGAGAGTGGCCAGCAGTGGCGACGCCGTCAACGCGGGCGCCGCCAGTGCAGGCGCGGTTCCAGGACCAGGCACTGCAGCAGCGGACGCCGCACACACAGCAGATGCGCAAGCAGCAGCAGCGGCGCCGCTGACGCGCAGATTTCCCACGGCCCCGCAAACAGTCCATTCCGCCAAGCCTGCTGCGCCACTCAGCAACAGCGGCGAGGGGGGGGCGGGTGCGGCCGAGGGGACGTGGCCGGGCGAAATGGTGGGGGAGGGGGGAAGACGGGGGGAAGCGGGGGAGCAGATGCGGGTTGGGGCGAGGCCGGGCAGTGGTAGAGCGGGGATGAGACGAGGGCTCGGGGTGGGGCAGGCGGGCGCGCGCATGGGCGCGGGGATGGGAGGGGGAGGCGGGGCGCAGAGGCCTGTGACTGCTGGCGGCAGGCTGGTTGTGGCAGGGGCCGGCAACAGCCGAGGCGGTGAGGGCAGCGATGCAGCAGGCAGCGAGACGGGCGTGGGCGATGGGGGGAGCTGGAAGGCCCGCCCGACACACGCTCAGCAGGGCGTGGGGCAGCAGGGCGTGGGGCAGCAGGGCGTGGGGCAGCAGGGCGTGGGGCAGCAAGGGGTGGGGCAGCAGGGCGTGGGGCAGCAGGGCGTGGGGCAGCAGGGCGTGGGGCAGCAAGGGGTGGGACAGCAGGGGATGGGGCAGCAGGGGATGGGGCAGCAGCAGGGCAGCGCAGGAGGGCAGAGTGGGGCGGGGCAGGAGCAGCAGAGGAGGGAGCGGCGGCATGTGCGGCAGGCGAGTCTGCAAGTGGACGCAGTGCAGCGCCTGCACGGCACCAAGGGCTCCGCCTCCCCTCCCCACGCACCAGCCATGCCCCTGCCCCGCCGCCCCCACACCGCCCTCGCCCGCTCCCCCTCGCCCTCCCCCTTTCCTCCGCCCTCCACCGCTGCGCCGCCTGACGCGCGTTCCTCCTCGTCCCGCTCCGCCACCTCCTCCCCCTCCCCCCCTATCCGCCCCCAGCCCCCCTCGCCCCAAGAGGACCGCTCCCCCCGCGGCCTCTCGCAGTCCCCCCCGCGTGGGGGTCCCCCCGCGCCCCTGCACGCGGCAGCATGCGCGGAAGCAGGGGGGGGCAGCGAGGGTGAGACAAGGGGGTCCGCGAGGGCGGGGGAGAGGGGCGGAGGAGGGGGGCGGGGTGGGGTGAGAGCGATGGGGCGGAGCAAGGCGAGTGGCATGGGGCGGGCGAAGGGTGTGATGGGCGTGGAGCGAGCGCAAATGGGAATGGAAAGAGGTGTGATGCGCGCAGAAGCAGGGGGGGCGATGGAGGGAGTGGATGGAGGGGCGGCGGGCGGACGAGGCATCCCTGAAGGGGCACACAGTTCCCTGCGCCAGCAACCGCTGCACGGTCCAGTCAGCGCTGACGTGGCACCAGCAGCAGCAGCAGGAGCAGCAGGAGCAGAAGCGAGCTCGCATTGGAATTCAAATAATCATGGTGGCAGTGAGAGAGGGGGTGAGGGGAATGGAGTGGTTGGGGCTGTTGCAGAGGCCAGGAAGGTCCGTGCAGGCGGGCAGAGCAGCACAGGCAGCAGCACTGAGCTTGCGCCACGAGCGGGCGGCAACGGACGGCTGCGATCGAGTGTGAGTTTCGGGCAGGCCAGTGCGTGTGAGCTGCGCTCTGCTGCTGCTCCCACTGCCACCGGCACTGGCGCTGCCGCCACTGGCAGCAGCGGCGGCACCAGCAGTGCAGGGGATAGCAGCGAACGAGGTGGGGAGGGGGAGGGGGAGGGGGAGGGGGAGGGGGCGGGGGCGGGCGCTGCAGGGGGCAGGGCGGAGATGGTCGCTGGCAGCAGGGCGGGCGGCGCGGAGGGGCATGCAAAGGGAGGGGCGGGGCGGCGGTTAACTCGCGCCCTGAGCGCCATGGAGGGGCGCGGTCATGCGCCTTGGGGGCCAGCTGCAGGGGCTGGGGAGGGCGGTGGGGGGAGTGGTGGTGGTGGGGGGGGGGGACAGGGCTCCAAAGGGCTGAGTGAAGGGGAGGGCGCAAGTGGTGGGCTGGGGAGGCAAGGGGGGGCGAGGGCGCGTCCAGAGCAGATGGCGGGGGAGGAAGGCAGAGAAGGCGAGAGGGGGGGAGGAGGGGTGAGTGCAGGTGAGAGCAGTGGGTTCAATGGCAGGGGAAGAAAGGCGCGAGAGGGACCCGCCAGAAGTTCGGGTGGGGAAGGGGGAGCAGCAGCAGCAGGGGTGGCGAGACCCGAGGCACACACAGGTGCCGCTGTGGCCCTCGCTTCTGCCCCTTCCCCCGGTAGTGAGTCGGGGAGGGGCAGGGGCGTGCAGATGGGTGGGGAGAGGTGGACAGCGGCACAGAGGGCTGCAGCACGGGACATGCAGTGGGAGAGGGAGCGGGAGAGGGAGAGCGGCAGGGGCAGAGCGACCCGCGGGAGAGAGAGGAACCGGTCGAATCCTGCCACTCCCACAGGCACCTCCCGCACACCACGAGGGGCCGTGGAGGGTGGGGGGACGCCGAGGGGTGTGGCGGAGGGAGGAGGGGGTGCTGCGGGTGAAGGGGCGGAGGGAGGGGGCGGGTCAGGGGAAGAAAAAGCGGGGCGTGCACGTGCAAGGCGGGGTAGGAAGGGTGCGGGCGAGGGGGGGGTGAGGCGAGGGGAGGCTGGTGATGAGGGTGAGAGGAGTGGCGGGGCGAGTGATGGGATGGTGGAGGGAGGGAGTGTGCGGCAGCAGAGAGGCTTAGAGGATGGGCGGAAAGGGCGAGAGGGAGGTAGAAGGGGCGGGGAGAGCAGTGAAAGTGGTGTGGTTGGAAGGGAGAGAGAGGGGAGAGAAGCGGCACAAGTGGAGGGTCTAGGAGAGGAAGGGCCAGGGGGCATGGCAGGATTGGGTTCATCTGGCTTCAAGGGGTTGGCACAACGACGGATGCAGCAGCAGGCGCAGCAGCAGACAGAGCAACTGCAACAGCAGGCGCAGCAGCCGCAACAGCAGCAGCAGAGGGAGAGGGAGGGGCAGGGGTGGCAGCATGGGCAGGCAGTGCAGGGGGAGGCAGAGAATGGGAGTGGCAGCAGAGGGGGCAGCGCACAGGAGGGCGAGGTGGAGGTGGGTGCAGTGGGTGGTGGGGGCGGGGTGGGTGGGGCAGGCGGGGTGAGGGGGCGGCGAGGGGAGGTGGTGACAAGCCGGCCGTGGCACGCGCGTGTGGGGGAGGGGAGGGGTGGGCGCGCGTGGGACGAGTCAGCAGCCATCGGGGCGCCGGTCACGCTGCTTGCTGCCGTGGGCAGCGGCAGTGCGGCGGAACTTGCAGTACGGTCCATGCCATTCACTGGGGTTGCTGCTGCTGCTGCTGCTGGGGTTGCTGGTGGGGTTGCTGCTGCTGCTGGGGTTGCTGGTGGGGTTGCTGGTGGGGGGGGTGCATGTGAGGCGATGCCGCTGACGCCGCCTGTGCTGTCCCTCACGGAGCAGCGCCTGCTGGCAGCCCGGCACGGCGCAGCAGGGAGTGCAGGGGGCGGAGCAGCAGGGGGGGCAGCAGTGGGGGGCGGCAGGAGGGGGGCGCGAGCCATGGTGAAGAGCATGTCCATGTCCGCCGCCGACCTGCACCTTGTGCCCTCGCCGCACGCCACTCCGCCCCCTGACGCTTCTGCCGGGAGGGTTGCCATGGGCACCGGTGTAAGCACCGGCGTGGGAGCGGGCGTGGGCGTGGGAGCGGGCTCTCGATCTATGGCCATTTCTCGCACATCCTCCTCCTCCGGCCGCCCCGCATTCCCACACGCTGCTTCTACTTCTGCTGCTGCCGCAGCTGCAGAAAGTGCGTCTGCGCACTCACTTGCCATGCACCCCGGCCAATCCGTGCCTCCTGCCAGTGACACTGCATCAGCCGCCATGTTCCTGGGCATGGGCCTCCCTGCCGCTCGCAACTCTGATACCTCTGAGCGCCTGCTTCGCCTCACAGCGCGGTGGAGCGAGGTGCAAAGCGGTGGCGGCGGGCGGACGGGGGCAGGAGTGCACTCGGATACGCCAAGGCTGGGCAGCGGCGTGGGGGGATCCATGGACCTGCGGCGAGCAGCCTTCCATGCAAGCATGGGCGCCGGCACGAGCATGGGTGCAAGCATGGGCATGGGCGTGGGTATGGTGGGCATGGGCACGGTAGGAGGGAGGGTTGGCGGGGGCATCCCAGCATGTTCGAGTGCGGAGGCGGATGTACCCGCGTGGGCGGCTCCCCAAGGGGACAGTGGGGGCGCAGAAGCAGGTGGGGGGAGTGCAGCAGCAGGTGCAGGTGCAAGAGGTGGTGGGGCGGGCAGGCGGGCAGGAGGAGGCGGTGCGAGCGGGCGGTCTGGGCTGGGAGGAGAGGGGGGCCTCACCCGCGGTGGGTCGGGTGTGAGTGGTGCTGTGAGTGGTGCTGTGGGCGGTGGGATGAGAGCAGGTGCACCTGCGGGTGCTGCGCTGCGGCGCCATGGCAGCATGTCTCTGCACCAGCAGCTCGTGGCTCCTCCTGTTGGCACGTGGCAGGAGCAGGCCGTGCAAGGTAAGCAGCTCAAGATGAAAAGTGCCATAGCCGCTGCCACAGCCGCCGCTGCTGCTGCTGAACCCGCTCTTGCCACTGCTGCTGGCACTGCTAATTCTGCATCTGCAGCGGCAGCGGTGGTGAGTGGGAGTGGGTTGCAGGAGAAGGCAGTGAGAGCGTATCCATTGGCGAGGGCGCACACGACAGCAGCTCGCAGCACACTGCGCACGCCTCCCTCTGCTGCTCTCTTTGACTCGCGCAGCTTCAGCAGCCGCGCCACTCCCCCTGCCTCCACCAGCAGCAGCGGTGCCAGCACCACAGGTGGTGGCAGCAGTGGCACGAGCAGCAGCGGCATGTGCAGCAGCGGTGCTGGTAGCAACGGCGGGGTGAGCAGCTCGTCCAGTGCCATCACAGCCTGCAGTGCCACGCTCACTGGCAGAATGCTCACCAGCACCTCCTTCACCACCACCAGCACCACCACTAGCACCCTACCCACCACCACCACGTTTTCCACCAGCGCCACTGCTGGTGGTAGTGCGAGCAGCAGCAGGGGCTTCCATCGTGCCGCCACTCTGAACGCGCGCTCCCTCGGCCTCTCCCTGAACGCGCCTGCCCTCTCTGCCCTGCCTGCGCCTGACGTGCATGGGGCGCCCTCCTGCCCTGCCGCAGCTGGTGCTGTGCCCGGCACGGGCAGCACCCGGCATGAGCTTGCCCGCAGCGCCAGCAGCAGCGCTGCCAGGCTTAGGGGCGCGGCGGTGGGGGTCGGGGTGAGAGGCGGGTGGGAAAAGGGGATGTTGAGGAGTGATGGTGGGCGGGAACAGAGCGGAGGTGGGAGAGAGGGGAGCGGAGGAGGGAGAGAGGGGAATGGAGGTGCAAGAGAGGGGAGTGGAGGAGCAAGAGAGGTGAGTGGAGGAGGGAGAGATGGTAGCAGAGGAAGAAGAGGGGGTAGTGGAAAAGGGAGAGAGGGGAGTGGAGGAGGGAGAGAGGGGAGTGGAGGAGGAAGAGAGGGAAGTGGAGGAGTAAGAGAGGGGAGTGGAGGAGTAAGAGAGGGGAGTGGAGGAGTAAGAGAGGGGAGTGGAGGAGTAAGAGAGGGGAGTGGAGGAGTAAGAGAGGGGAGTGGAGGGGACGGTGGGTGGGCAGAGGCAGCAGCAGCAGTGGCATTTGGGACAGCAGCAAGTGGGACAGCAGCAAGTGGGACAGCAGCAAGTGGATCTATAACAGGGAGGTCAGCTGCAAGGGTGAAAGCGATGAGGGGAACAGCAGCAGGGGGAACCACAGAGAAGGGAGTGGACGTAGGGGCAGCAGGAGGAGGGGAAGCAGCAGCAAGGGGAGCAAGAGCAGCTGGAGAAGCAGCAGGAGGAGGAGGAGCAGCAGGGGCAGCAGCAGCAGGGGCAGCAGCAGCAGCAGCAGCAGCAGGAGGAGGAGGAGGAGGAGCAGCTGGGGCAGCAGCAGCAGGAGCAGCAGGGGCAGCACCAGCAGTAGCAGGGGCAGCAGGGGCAACAGGTGCAGCAGGGGCAGGGAGCAGCAGGGGAGGCGGCAGGGTGGCAGGGAGGACACTGCGCAAGATGGCGAGTGACAACTTCCGCTCCTCCGCCCGTCCCATGGGCAAGGCCATGGGCAGCCATGGGGGCATGGGCATGGGCATGGGCATGGGCATGGGCATGGGCATGGGCATGGGCATGGGCATGGGCATGGGCATGGGCATGGGCATGGGCATGGGCATGGCCATGGGCGTGGATGGGGTGAGTGCAGGAGGCAACAGAGCAGTGAGGCTGTCCTCTACAGCCAGCTCGCTGGACCTCGCTGTGCCCTCTGCTGCTGCTCTTGCTGCCTCCGCCTCTGCTGCTCGCCCGGCTGGTACTGCTGGCGTGGGCACAGCCGGTTGGAGGGGGGATGCACGGAGGAGAGGGGGCAATGAGGGCGGTGGGGAGGAGAGGCGGGGGGAGGAGGAAGGGAAGGTGGGCAAGGAGGAGGCGGTGACGCCGTCGAAGGCGAGCAGAGAGGACAGTGTGACGCCCAGCCGCCTGTCGCGCGCCCGGCGAGCTGTTCTGAGTGCTGCTGGTAAGGAGCGGCGGCGCGCTGCTGGGAAGGGTGGTGAGGGAGAGGAGGAAGAGGAGGAAGAAGAGGAGGAAGAAGAGGATGGAGAGGAGGAGGAAGAGGAGGAGGAGGCTGAGGAGGTGGGAGGGGAGGAGGGAGTGACAGACGCTGAGAGCGAGGAGGATTCAAGCATTCCTGTGGCGGCCCAGGCAGTCAGTGCGCACCATAGCAGCGGAGAGCAGAGTGGAGCAGCAGCAGCAGCAGGGGGCAAGGGCAAGGCGGGGCTGCTGAGCAAGGCAGCCAAGGGCATGCGGGGTCTGGGCGACCGCATCACACGGGCGCGGCTGAGGCTGCTGCAGGGCGGGCAGGCGGACGTGCTGGGGAGGGGGTTCTCGGACGTGCGTGGGGAGTATGACGTGGACGGGGGCCAGCAGGTGGGCAGCGGGCAGTTCGGTGTCATCCGCGTGGTGACACACCGGGCAACTGGAGAGCGCCTGGCGTGCAAGTCCATCAGCAAGACGTGCCTCAAGGTGAGTCCTCTTCATGCCAATCCTGCCCTCGTGGTTTCTCTTTCCCCTCCCACCTCTTCATTCCTCTCACTGTTCCGCGTGCATCTCAGCAGCAGAATCTCGCCCTTTGACGTAGAGGCTCGCAACCCATTCATATATTTTTCACTGGTTTTTTTACTATCCCCGTGCGTGGCCCCCATGCACCCACCACCCGCCACCGCACGTGGCATGGGGCAGTCGAAGGCGGATGCGGCGGACATAAGGAGGGAGGTGGCCATACTGGAGCAGCTCAAGGACCACCCCAATGTCGCCCGCCTCGCTGCTGCCTTTGAAGACCCCAAGGTGCCCCACTCGCCCCGTTAGCGCATGCTCTCGTGCTCGCCCATGATTTTTCTGGCACCTCAAAAACACCCTCGCTCAGCCATCTCCTGCAGCCCCCCTGATTCTTTGTCCCCCTCTGCTCCCCCCACTCCCTCACACTCTGCCTCCCTCACTCATCACCCCTCTTTTCTGCACATGCTGCTCTTCCCTCCTCAACCCACGCTCTCTTACCATTCTTCCCCGCCCCCTTCCCCCCCCACACAACACCCCCCTCTTTCCCCCCCGCCATGGCACTGATGTGCATGGTGCACGGGGCAGGAGGTGCATGTGGTGATGGAGCTGTGTGCTGCCGGGGAGCTCTTTGACCAGTGGGCACGTAGGCCCCTGCCAGCCCCTTGACCATTGCTGCTTCTCTAACCCCAACCCCCCACTTCCACTCTTTTTTTCCCTCCGTCTCTCCTGCCCACGTCACCCTTTCTCCCTGTCTCCCCCCATCCCCTTCCTTCCCTGCGCCAGGAGGTGCATGTGGTGAAGGAGTTGTGTGAGGGTGGAGAGCTGCTTCCCTTTACCCTTCCATCTGCTTCCCCGTTTTCCCCTGTCTCCCCACATTTCTCCCATCTCCCTCCGTCTCCCCTGTTCCCCCCTTCTAACTTGCCAACCTCCATGTCTCCCCGTTTCTCTCCATCTCAAACGCCCCACCCTGTCTCCCCCGTCCCCTCCTGTCTTCCCCCGTCCCCTCCTGTCTTCCCCCGTCCCCTCCTGTCTTCCCCCGTCCCCTCCTGTCTTCCCCCGTCCCCTCCTGTCTTCCCCCGTCCCCTCCTGTCTTCCCCCGTCCCCTCCTGTCTTCCCCCGTCCCACCATCTCTCCTCCCCCCCCGTCTCTTCTCCCCCTCCATCTCCCCCCCCCTCCACCAGGAGGTGCATCTGGTGATGGAGCTGTGTGAGGGCGGGGAGCTGTTCGACCGCCTCAAGGCGAAGCGAGTGTACGAGGAGGGCGAGGCGGCAGCAGTGCTGCGCACGCTGGTGGACGTGCTGAGGCACTGCCACGCCATGGGGGTGGTGCACCGCGACGTCAAGCCCGAGAACATCCTGCTTGTGTCGCAGCACAGCGACACCGATGTCAAAGTCATCGACTTTGGCATTGCTGCCTTCTACAAGCCTTGTGAGCCATGCTGCCTTCCCCGTGCTTGTTTGCACCGCCACCCTCCTCGTTTCGCCAATCCCTTTTGTACCTCCGATTTTCTACGAGCCTTGTGAGCCATGGGGTTAATCACAGTGAACATGTGCTTGCTCTTCTCTCAATTACACCGCTGCGCTTCTGCTCTCCCTGGTCCCTGTCATACCTCTTGTTTTCCCTCCCTTCCCCAACCCCTCACATAACCTTCATGGATACACCTGTATCTCCCGCGCATGCATCTGCTTGTCTTTCTCTCGCCTCACATCACCCTCCCCTCCCCACCCACGCATGATGCCCCCCTGGCAGCGCGGCCGCTGACAGAGTTTGTGGGGTCGCACTACTACATGGCGCCAGAGGTCATCGAGGGGTGATGTTTCAGGCGCCTCAATAACCCTCCCCTGACCCATGCATGGTGTGCCCCCCTCCCCTCCCCTCCACTCCCCTCCACTCCCCTCCACTCCCCTCCCCTCCCCCCTCTTGCAGCGCGGCCGCTGACGGAGTTTGTGGGGTCGCACTACTACATGGCGCCGGAGGTCATCGAGGGCAGCTACGGCCCACCGGCGGACGTGTGGAGTGCAGGAGTAGTGCTGTACGTGCTGTTATCAGGAGTGCCGCCCTTCTGGGCGCGCTCGGAGGACGGCATCATGCAGGCCATCCTGGACTGCCGCCTGCGCTTCAAGCCCGAGGTGTGGGGCAAGCGCTCCCACCTCGTGCAGGACCTCATCCGCCGCATGCTCACACGGGATCCCAACCTCCGCATCACCCCCGCTGGCGTTCTTGGTAAGCCCCCTGCCCCTTTTCCTGCACCTTGTCCTGCAAACTGTGCTGTGCTCCCTCGCAGTGATTCCCAGTGCTCTGCATGTGCCATGCCATGTTCTGATGTACGCATGTTCTTTTCCGTGCAGCTCATCCGTGGATGGCATCTGCAGCGCAAGCAGATGAGTCGCAGCCGCAGTGACTACTGTAGCAATGACAGCGATGTGCCGGTGGTTGCCAAGCGTTGTGGAAGCATCAAGTGGTTCAATATCCCTCACACCTCACCATCACTTGCGTTGTGCTCCCACCACGATGTCTATAGTTTGTGTTTCTTGTGCTTTGTAGCTGCCACAGCAAGTGCACTTCTTGATGCCTTTCGTCACCTAGAGTTAGCCTCTTAGAATTAGCATAGGGTTATATGTGTAGGTATAATTTGGCTTGTACGTAGGCGCATGTGCAATATAGAAAAATATGTATTAAACTCAAAGTAAAAAATTTGAGCGTCAATGACTTGGCCTGAGAAGAAAAAAAAAAAAACAAGAGGCGACGAAATCGTCTTAGGGTTGCGGAGCTTTTGATATTTTTGCACAAAACATATCATTAATATCGAGATGTAACTTTCACAACACGTACAGCAAATGTTACTTTCGAAAACCGAGACCGTCAGGTTTCATTTCTGCGGTGAATCGATCATGAGATCTTTCCATCTACAAGACTTCTGACGAGAAGTGAGAATGGAATGAATGAACTATGAAACAGTTGGGTACAAGTACTAACCCTAATTGGGTTGTACCCCTTATGGGCTACCCCATTACAGCCTACACAAATGTATAAGCTATAATGTTATGACACACCCCCATAGGCAAAGTGGGGGAGAACAAGTGGTCACAAGACCAGTCAAGCAAAGCAAATCAAAGCAAAGCAAGCTCAGGGTGGATTACAAAGTCACCACACAATCCAAGCACAAGAGTAAGGCCACAAGGCCAGTTCACATGCAAGGCCATATATATAAAGGTAAAACAAGCAAGGGCAGGTATAGAAAGAAGACAGTCCAAACAAGATCAAGAAGTGAGCAAGTGAGGCCAGGTAGGCACAAGACCTAGCACAGTACAGAAGCACTGATGATCACAAGGCGCAAGTGCCTTGGTGAAGATATCAGCACTGTTGGCCTCAGAGGCCACGTAGGTGAGGCGGAGCTGACCACGCTGCTGCAGCTCACGAGACAGGAAGTAGCCGAGAGCAATGTGCTTCGTTCTGTGCTCCAGTCTGTGCTCCCGACACAAGGCCAGCATGGCCTTGTTGTCTACGTACAGAACTGGAGGAGAACGAGGCGGCTCTCCTAGGTCAGTCAGCAGGTAGGTGAGCCAGCGTAGCTCCTGTGCAGCCATGGCCCCTGCGTAGATCTCAGCCTCACAGCTGGAGCCGAGAACAGAGGACGAGCGGGTAGACCGCCACGAAACAGAGCCGGAGCCAAGGCTGAAGGTGTAACCCTGTGACGACCGCTGCGTAGCCTAGTCGTCAGCCCAAGAAGCGTGAGCGTGACCTGTGAGGACTACTCGACGTCGCCCTCCAAGCACTAGCCCCATGCCCGACGCACTGCACACGTAGCGCAACACCCTCTTCGCTGCAGCCATGTGCTCTGGTAGGTGTCTCCCAGGAGCAACATAGCGTGCCAAGATGCTAAGAGGGTATGCTAGGTCAGGTCGTGTGCAGGTCATCAAGTACATGAGGCAGCCAACAAGCTCTGGGTACGGGCCACTCGGCTCTACGGACTCATCCGAAGGCAGAGCTGAGAGCGAGTGGCGAGTAGACAGAGGAGTGGCCTGAGGCGAGGAGTACGTGAAGCCGAAGCGCTGAAGGACCTGCTGCACCATGTGTGAGTGAGTCAGGGTAATGGTGCGCTGTGCTCTGTCCCGGGTGATCTGCAAGCCAAGGTAGCTGCGCAGTTCACCCAGGTCTGTGCACGTGTGTCTCTTCTGTAGCTCGGACTTCACGTGGGCGAGTCCAGCAGTGTCAGCAGTGGCAAAGACCAGGTCGTCGACGTACACGAGGATGTAGAACAGTGGCAAAGAGGTGTCGGTGCGTAGAAACAGCGACGGGTCGGCTGTAGAAGGAGCAAACCCAAGAGCCGCAAGTGTAGTCCTCAGTGTGTCGTGCCACTCACGGGGCGCCTGGCGGAGACTGTAGACTGGCCGCCGGAGGCTCCAGTGGGTGCCAGGAGGAAACGACCCAGTGAAGCCAGGAGGGTGGCGCAGCCAGATCTCCTCGTGCAGGCTGCCCTGCAGGAAAGTAGTGCTGAAGTCAAGAGAGTGAAGCTCGTAGTCGCGCTGAGCGGCTATGTGCAGCAGCACCCGAAGAGTGGTCATCTTCGGGGTGGGAGAGAAGGTCTGAAAGTAGTCAACTCCCTGCCGCTGACTGAAGCCTCGAGCCACGTAACGCGCCTTGAAGACAGGCGGAGAGCCCGGCGGCCGCTTCACCTTGAAGATCCACATCCCACTGACGATGTTCGCCCCAGGTGGGGGAACCTCGTCGACGTAGGTGCCTGTGGAATTCCAGGAAGCCATCTCTGCATCCATGGCTGACTGCCACTAAGAGGAGTAGGGACCCTCGATCGCCTCAGCGTACGATCGAGGAGTCGGGATGTCAGGTGCATCCGGGTCTCCCTCAGGGGCAATCAACGTGGACACGAGATGGGGCAAAGCAGCCGCAAAGCACTGGAACTCCTCCTGCCTGTCCTCAAAGACGTCCGTGCTAAGAGCACACTCACCCCGGACGGACGGAGGACAGACAGACTAAGACTCAGCAACAAGACTAGCAGCGTAGTCTAGACGACAGCGAGCAGCGAAGTCGACAAGCTCAGCAACGAGAGCAGACGTAGCAGCAGACTCAAAGGAAGGGTCAGTGACGACAATAGCAAGAAGGCGCGTGACCGAAGGACTAGCAGCACGAAGGGAGTCAGACTCCGGGTCAGCAAGAGAAGGAAGAGAGGACTCTAGAGGAGACGGCAACGGGACACGCAGAGGAGCAGTGGAAGGACGCAGTGCCATCTGGTGTGTGCCGGGGACCGCAGGAGGACGTGGATGCGCAGTACGACCACTAGTGCGAGCAGCACGAACAGGTGACGCGGGACGAGACGCTGGCTCAGGACGCTCAGCAAGACCTCCAGTAGGACCAGTGTAGGGAGAAGGAGCAGGTAGAGGGGAGGCGGGCGGTAACTGTGACTGCGACTGGACAGGCGGTGGACACTCTAGGGGAGGAGCAGGACCAGTAGAGGGCGGGAGACCAAGAACCTGCTTAAGGAGCCGAACGAAGTACGGCCTCGGCCGCGCAGCGCCTCTAGAACCAGCAAGTACGGCACCAGTACCCCCAGCGGCAGCACCAGCGCCAGCAGAACCTCCAGCTCCAACAGCGCGAACTCCGGTAGGACCATCAGCACCAGTAGAAACACCAGCGCCAACACCCCCAGCAGCTCCAGCTCCAGCAGCACCAACTCCAGTAGGACTGTCAGCACCAGCTGCCTCAGCAGCACCCCCAGACGCCCCAGCACCAGTAGAAACACCAGCGCCAACACCCCCAGCAGCTCCAGCTCCAGCAGCACCAACTCCAGTAGGACTGTCAGCACCAGCTGCCTCAGCAGCACCCCCAGACGCCCCAGCACCAGTAGAAACACCAGCGCCAACACCCCCAGCAGCTCCAGCTCCAGCAGCACCAACTCCAGTAGGACCGTTAGCACCACCTGCCTCAGCAGCACCCCCAAACGCACAAGCACCAGTAGAAACACCAGCGCCAACACCCCCAGCAGCTCTAGCTCCAGCAGCACCAACTCCAGTAGGACCGTCAGCACTAGCTGCCTCAGCAGCACCCCCAGACGCACCAGCACCAGTAGAAACACCAGCGCCAACACCCCCAGACTCAGCAGCACGTCTCCAGCGGCGGGCGAACCACACGCGCAGCTCCTGTGGAGAGAGCGGCTCCCGCCTCGACGAAGTACCGCCGGCGGCCACACGAGCAGACCCAGCACCCCCAGGCTCCGCACCCCCAGACTCAGCACCCCCAGGCTCAGCACCTCCAGTCTCAGCACCCCCAGACTCAGCACCCCCAGACCCGGCACCCGCAGACCCGGCACCCGTACGCTCAGCACCTCTAGCAGCACCAGAGTCTACAGCTACCTCGACTAGCTCGACTGCGTCTACCTGGGACACACCTGAAGGGGCAGGACCCTGAGGAGGGAGGGGGTCTACCTGAGTAGAACCTGGCGCAAGGAAGAGCGGGGGCGGGGGGAGGGGCGCAGTGCGATAGGGGAAGAGACGGTAGTAAGGCACCGACTCGTCAAAGGTGACGTCCTGGGAGGACAGAACACGGCGCGTGGTGGGGTGGTAAAACTGCCAGCCAGGCGCGTCAGGGGGGAAGCCAAGGAAGACGCAAGGAAGAGCACAGGGGGACAGGGTCACACCACTCCGCTGCTGCTGCTGGCGCTGACCACCAGCGGCGCCACTCCTCGACGCAGAGTCGCAACTCGCTCCACCACCGCCGCCTCCGCCGCCGCCGCCGCCTCCGCTGCCTCCTCCACCTGTGCCTCCTCCACTACCTTCGCCGCCTCCGCTCCCTCCGCCACCTCCACCGCCTCTGCCGCCTCCACCGCTGCCGCTGCCGCCGCCACCCTCAGCACCACTCCCACCACCACCCCCACTCCCTCCACCGCCTCCACCACCACCTCCACCGCCCCTTCCACCTCCTCCAGTGCCCTTGCCCCCCTTGCCCTTGCCGGTGCGGCGTCTCCCGCTCGGGGCAGACGCAGCGCCGACCGACTCGAAACCAACGAGGTCGGCCGCAGCAGCAGAGGCAACAGAGGGCAAGAGGGGGGAGGGAGAACACCCCTCAAAGACGGGGGTGCGAGGGTCACCACGAGAGGCTCCTACAGCGACTATGCTCTTCTCTATCGCTAGGAGGGCCTTCTCGAGGAGGTCAACGGTGAGAGTGGTGGGGCAAACAGAGAGGGAGTGGTCCTTGACTACACGGAGAGAGTCAGGGAGACGGGTGACTATGTAGTAGAGGGTGATGTACATGGGGGGGGGTTCTTGGCGCAGAACTCAGCAGGAAGCGCAGCGCGGTAGCGAGTGTCACTAGTGCGGAGGTGCGTAATGAGGTTAGCAACAGTGGGAAAGGCAGCAAGGTCAGGGAAGAGGTACGGTAGTATGAGGC